CTGATGGCCTAAGACGTCAAGTATAACAGCAGATGTGCTAGGAGAGTTCAACCTAAGAGAACAGCATTTTGTCATATAGATTAACAAGTGGATGAAAGTTTTTCTGCAGTAACTGTAATACGTTAATCCCATCAGAAAAGCAACTTCTAGAGCTGAAGACAATTAAAAAAAAGATACAGGTCTAGTACATCATGAAATGATAGTTTAAAAATAATTCCATGTCTATGAGAGATCAAGAAGACATTTCACCTATCCATCGTTGTGGTCTGGTTGGTGGACATGAACTGTAATGCAAGTGTTGTATTATAAACATTCAAGTTTATGTGTAACTGAAAGCCTGTAACTTCACATGAAGGCACTCACGTTACTTAAAGTGCATGAATCATAGAATATAACATAGACATGGTTTATCATACACAGCTATTTCATTCGTTTAGTCACACACTAGATGACTTGCTGCACTTGCTATCACACTAAAAAGTGAATATAAAGGCATACTTTACTATACTTATAAACAACGTTTCAACATTGGACAGTTTGGTAATATATCGTTAGAAATGTTCAATTAATAATGTGTTACTCTAACAATCAAAACATATAATGTTCAATTTGACATCTTCAGTGATAAGAAGTTCACCCTTCTCCAATAGGCTCTTTTCAAGATTTTTTTTTTCTTTTTCCAAATAGCCCCATTGTCTAGCAGCTTTTTCAAGCAAGAAGATGCTTACGACATCAGATTCCATACACGCAAGTGTGAATTTAATGCTTTGAGAAAAATCTTTTCTTCTAATTTCTTCTAAATGCATCACAACCAGCCGGTTTGAAGTACCAGTAACTAATAATTTAACAGTCAAGGCATCCACAGAGTTAACATGTTGAGAGTTAAGCTCAGTCCAATGGTGCACAGGACTGGATACAGGTATCACTGGTGTCGGTCGAGAACAGTTGAACCAGCTTCTTCTGACCGAGCCCCAGACTGAGCCTCAACCGAGTCCTTTTATTGTATATTGTTTGATAGATAATATCGACCATGGATTCATACCAAGGATGTGACAGAAAAGATGAATACTTGATCCCATAATTAATCTACTCTTCAGAAAACTAAGTAAGGGGAGTGATTCGAGGTGACAAGATTGCCGTATGAATTTACACAGAATTTTAGGAAATAAAGATAATCTGGAGAAATTACTAAACAGAACAAGTGAAGAAATAGAATGTAGAATCAAGAATTCTGCAGTAAAATCCCATCTTTCTCCTAAAATTCTTGCTGTTGCTCTTCTCTATTTCTTCTTCTTTAAACTAGGGTTTCAAATTTTAAATTTTAATGGCGAAAATGATGAATGAAGCTTAACGTGTGAATTTGCAAAGAGTTTATCAAATGAGGATAGTCGAAACAAATTGTTGAAAAACTAGTAAATAAATTGGGGGAAATTACCTGTCGTCATCCATTGTAAAATCTTCAGCAGATCCTAAGTTGTTGAAATCTTGGCTTCGAATTTGGGAGAATAAATCTACGGATGGAGCTCATGAGCGATGGCTGCTGCTCCTTTTACCAAAACCCGTATTGGACTGTGAGATTCGGTTTCGGGTCCGGGTGGGATCATTCTCTGTACCCGTTTTGAATTTTCCTTCTTCTTTTTTTAAATTCATTTGAAAATCATAATCAGATATATTCATTCAATTTATTTATTTTAATGGACTGCCATATATAAGGAGATTTCTCTAAACACTTTATAGGAGATGAAACTATGAGATGAAATTATATATTTTCTGCAATTTACTGACCCTCAAAGAGTGTGAAAAACATAATACAACAGGTTATGAGTTTAAGATCAATTTATAACACTATCCACAAAAGTAAATAGCATATTTTGTCCCAAAGCTCTTACCAATTCATGGACACAGGGAAAAAAATGTCTGGTATAAATTTATTGGGGACGCTTGGGAGGATTTTAAATGTTTGATGAGGAGTTTTTGGCATTGGGTCTAATTGCTCCTTAATAAATTGTACAATTTGGTTTCTTGGTAAGGATTTTCTATATTTATTGAAACATGTATCTAGTTCTGATGACATTGCTGTTAAGTTTTCCCTATTTTTTAATTAAGGAGCTTTGGAGCTAATGTATATTGATAATCATATTTTTATTATATTTTTATATCATCATTATCTATTTTGTTTAAATAAAAATGTCAATAATAAACATATTTTATCTTAACTTATAGGTAAATGAAGAATTAATGAATAAAAGCTCAAAAGAACTCAAATTTTCTCATTTTTAACCTTCTATTGAAGCCTAGAATTAAGCCAAGCAATCTAGAGAAGTCGAAGAAACAATGATCCAATATGAAAAGAAATCAAGTCAAAATTATGTTCAAGATGATTAACCACAAAGAAACGGTGATATCTCTCAATCTGAAAAGTGAAATTTAACATATAATGTATGAAAATCGTCTATCTCGACGAGACGGACCTAACTATATTTTTAGAATTTTTGAATTTCAATCGATTGACCGACCAATTGGCTCGTACCAAACTTATTTTATGGCTAAGATTTAATACTGGGAGCCCAAGTAAAATTCAATGTTTATTGTTGCTTGTTGTAGGCTATAAATAGGGGTAGATGATGAGGGATTTGAGTGTGAAAAAGTTTATAAAAACTCCTTTTAGAGAGAAATGTTGCTCTTAATTGAGAAGACTTTCCAAAATTATAATTTTTTATTGCAATTAATAAAATATTTTTTTCACCTCTTTATATTTTTATTTTCTTCTCTTTGTTTGATGATGAAGATGAAGATGAAGATGAGATGAAGATCAAGATTAAGATGAAGATTTGCCTTTATCAAGAGGCTAGAACCCTATTGGAATGTAAATTTTTTCTTTTATCTTTTTTTTTTCTTGTAATATTTTTTCTTACTTTATGTATTCAATGGGCTAAGACCCTCTTGATTTAGATTTATTTTCATGCCTTGTAGAGTAGATATACTTTCATGTCTTTATTTTTTTATAATTATTTTATAGTATAGATTTATTTTTCTTGCATAGTTTAGATTTTATTTTTTTGCACTATTCATCAAGAGGCTAGAACCCTCTTGAAAATTAGTTTTTTTTCCCTTTCATTCTCTCACTTAGAGGTTAAAACCCTCTTTGGAGTTAATTTTTATTTTCATTCTCTGCCTTTTATTTCTTTGTTTTTATTTTCTAATATGTGAAACTAATTCTTGTAAGAAATCTAGAATTGCATGAAACTAGTTTAATTTTTTTTATGAATTATGAATTACTCTCTTGTGCTTAAAATGATCATGCTTAAAATAATCAACTAGTGAATTAATTGGTAGGAGGAATTCTAAAAATTACTATCTAGTTGTTATTATTTTCATAGATGTTAATTTTACTTAGATGATAATTTGATAGGTTATGCTTTCCTTAAGTGCTTTGATAGTGTATGCTTAATAAATCTGAATTAAAATATGATAAAAAGAGAATAGTTCGTAATTTATAATTAAAATTGATTAGTGGATTCAATTCTAGATTCCTCATATATTTAATTGAATCCTCTATCTTTTACTTTCTTGATTTTTCACTTTATTCTTGATTTTTTTATTTGATTCTTGATTTTATTTTCTTCTATTTCTTCATCTTTATTCCTCCCCTCTCACTCTAGTTTTATTTTTATTTGCATATAATCACAATTATCATATCTCTCCACAATTACATATTTATTACTCCTAATTGTCACACATACAACTTAAGAATCATTTTGATTAATTTCTACAACACCTTCCTTGTGGGATTCGACATTTCTTTATATTATTACTTGATTGTGCACTTACAATCTCGACATATTCACAAACACCACACCATATATTTGAAAGCTTTGCAATTGATGTGAACTGAGGTGTACATCCCGGAATATTCTCTAATGTAATTTTTTCGTATGTTTTAGATTAATAGAAGAGTTTACTCACAGATAAGACAATATTATCGTTAGAGCTAAAGTTTAACTCAAGAACTAATATTAGAAAACATTAACTATAATTAAGGCAAAGTTAATCCTTAGTTATTTAGCTTTGAAAAATTCAAAGGACCATAAAGTCAAACCAAACTCGACTATCAGTCTGAAATAAAAATAAAAAACTATAAAAAAGAAAATACACAAACATTAAAAAGTACTAAAATAAAATAAAAAATATTTTTCGTAAGTATGAATTATTACAGCAAAAAAATTACAGAAATTTTACCAAGAATCCAATTTTATGTAAAGGTTTTCTTAAATAAATATTTTGTATAAGATTTTCTTTTAGTCGACAATAACGTTATCACTGGAGGAATTGGAGACATTATCAAGCTTATGAAAACAAATGTACTCACCTGTTAGCCTCATGGTTATGAGCTTACTCCCTAATCTTATTTTGATAATTACAAACAATTCCTAATAATGTGTGTCGAGTGTTTACATGTGCATGTTAGGTGTTGCGCGCAGCGGAAATTTCGGCAGCACTTCGGCAGCACAATAAGAGAGTCAGGTCGCAATAAGAATTCCTGTTTCATCAAGGAAACAAGAATCTGAAGTAAAATATCTCAACCAAGTGAGATATCAGCTCTTCCTCTCATCAGTTCTAGAACTGACCTGTCGAGGGAACCTAAAAGCTATTACAAATCATACAAATAGCAGTACAATCAATTTTTACGTGGTTCGGCAAATTGCCTACGTCCATGGGGTAAGGAGGGGGGAGATCTACAATTAGAGGGAGAGAATACAACTAGGGTTTACAATCGGGGTGACACTAGGGGCACACCCCCAACCACACCTCCAATCACACCCTCTCTCTCATTTGCTACAGTGCACCGGGCCCCACATAGGATTTTAAAATTTTAAAATCCTATGTGGGGCTCGGTACACTGTAGCAAATGAGAGACAGTGTGTGGTTGGAGGTGTGGTTGGGGGTGTGCCCTTATTATTTTCCTTTACAATCTCACAATTTAAACCCTCAAACAAACTCTCAAATCTTTCATAATATCTCTCTACAAAAGCACAAAAGGACTGCACACTTTTTCTCCTGCAGCCACCAAAAATAAATCCTCTGCACTTCGTACTTGCTCTAAGCCGAGAAAAAATCACAGCCGAAAAAATCAAAGTTCCTAGCACGCTCAACAAACAAAAACCTAGAGAAGCTATATATAGCTTGTCAAATCGGAATCAGGTGGGCCTGTTTTGTTTTTGCTACTGTTCACGAGATTTTCTCAAATCTCTTCACGCGTGATTGAAACGTGGTGGGGGCCAGCGTTCACATTAGGTTGTTGGCCTTCTTTGTTTTGATGATGATTTACAAATAATTTATATCTAATATTGTTTGTCAAGTGTTTGTGTCTTATATTTATTCTAGACAAATAATATGTTGGATGATGGATGGAATTGCGCATTCACGATCATATCAAATGGAGGTTGGCAGAATTATGGAGTGAAGCCTATGCAATTTAAATTGAATATCCAAATTCTAGTTTCATCCACAAGTGTACCAAGTTGGGCTACATCGAAAATCAATCAAGCTTGGGTATATTTAGTTTAGGTTTTATATTATGTGTGTTAATATTTTAAGCTCAATCATATATACACACACATATTTAGTTTTTATATATATAGTTATATATATACACAAGTTTTGATTTATGGATTTAACAACCATTGTATACATATTTCATTAAATCTATACAATTATTTTATAGGGTTTTAAAATATTGTTTATGTCAAAACATCAAATTTCATGTCACATTTTCATGTTTTGGACACACTAACAAAATACATGAGTTTTCACAAATGGAAAACTCAATTTAAGAAATTCTTTTTCTAACATATTTAATTTCATGTTTATAAATGTTTTCCAAAGTTTTATTAATTTTGGAATTAATTTGTTATGTTTATTTGAATTTACAAAATTAAGTTTTTAATAAGCTCATGTTCGTGCACATGTTCGTGCATGTTTTTGCAAAAACAGATGCGTTTTCAAAATTGGAAAATGCGATTTGAAAAATTTATTTGTTTATATGTTTATCATCATATATACAAATATTTTCCCAAGTTTTACTAATTTTGGAGTTGTTTTGTTATTTTCAATTGAATTTACAAAACTAAGTTTTTAGCAGTTTTTTCAGAAACTATATATCTGTGTTCAAACATTTATTTCTCTCAACTGGGAAGTGATATTTCATAAATTCTTTCTCTAACATATTTATCTACATGTATAGAACCTTTTTCAAAATTTCATGATTTTTAGAGTTGATTTACTATTTTTAATTAATTTTACAAAGTCAGATATGCAAATTTCTAGAAATTGTCAAAATCAGAAACTATCCGTGAACAGTACGATCGATCGTACTACAGTACGGTTGACCACCATTACTATAGCAGTCGACCGTTGCACAGTAACGGTAACATCTGTTTCTTTGTTTTTAGTGGGTTTTTAGGGTTTTTTGAGTGTTTTCTTCTATCCTATATATACCCTTTTGCCATAACTATTTTTTATCACTAAGAAAGAGTTTTAAACAAGTTTTAAAAGAGATTAAAAGTTTGTTTTAAGTTTGGGATTTTTGTTTACAAAGGAGGAAGTTTGCGTTGTCAATTAAGGGATTCATCCTCAATCTTCTTCATCCTCTCATTTATGTTTATAGGGAAGTTTTTCTAACTCTTTTCTCTAGCAATTTTATTATTAATTTTTATATTCTTATTATTGCTAGTTTGCTAATTGAGTTATATCTTATTTCACTCATTGTTTACACACACTCACTTGATCTTATTGTATTTTCATACATAGTATATTTGGGTTGGTGAGAGTTGTAACAATTGAGTGTGTGCTTTAATTGAGTTATCGCCTTGTATTAGAGAAAAAATTATTTGTTGTTATTTGAGAGTGTTGTAGAGTTTTCGGTTAGCTAGAAAATCGTATTGTGAGGTGTGGAGTGTAGATGTTGATCGGTGATCGTTAAAAATTGATACTGTGAGGTATAAACATTATTCGGGTGAACGTAAAAAACCCGGTTATGATAGTGGATTTTGCCCCGGGAGTGGGGAGCGGAGACGTAGGACAGAAGGTCCGAACTCCGTGATCATTTAATTGTGTTTGAGTGTGCTTTGGCGTTTATTCTTATTTGTGCTCATTGCTCATATCACCATTAATGTCTCATTATTTAGTTTGCCCACTATCTAGTTTCAAATTATTTACCCTTGTATTAGTTTCATATCCTTGCATATATATCTCATAGTATATCTCATTGCTAGCATATATTCCTTTGTTCATATTGCATATTCTTGCTCATAATTAGCTGTATATCTATCTTATAAGAATATATTTGTTAATAAGTTTTAATTGGCATATAATCGGATTAGATTAGCATAAGACCCTAATCATCCCCCCCTCTAGGGTCTAACATGGGTATCCTCCACAAAGATCCTTGTTGGAGATTGGTTGGATTGCGCCTTCATGATAATATCAAAAGAAGGTTGGTGGAATATCGGAGTGAAGATATCATAATTCAAGCCAAAGATTCAAGATCAAGCTTTATCCGCAACCAAGATGAGCCAAATGAAGATCATCATCTTGGTACATTAGTTTAGGTTTATATTATGTGTGGTAATACTTTAAAGTTCAAACTACACACATACACGCTTCGTTTTTATCATATTATACATTTTTGAGAAAATAAATTGTTTATGGATTAAAAACTTGATTATAATTGTTAAACATTTTTTTATGTCCATTAATATATTTAAAAGAAGTTTCAAATTTGTTTGAACTCATTTTGTCAAAATCAAGTTTTTAACAAGTTCATGTTCGTGCATGTTTTTGTAGAACAGATGAGTTTTCATAAATAGGAAGTGAAATTTGATAAATTATTTTTCTAACATGTTATAGTACATGTTTATACTATTTCCCAAAATTTTATTATTTTTGGAGTTGATTTATTATGTTAAATTGATTTTACAAAATCAAGTATTTTAGCAGTTTTCAGAATCTAGAATATCTGTGTTCAAATAATTATTTCTCTTAAATAAAAAGTAATATTTTATAAATTCTTTATCTAAAATGTTTATCTATATGTTTAAAAACCTTTCTCAAAATTTCATAATTTTTAGAGTTGATTTACTATTTTAAATAGATTTTACAAAGTCAGATACGTAAAATTCCAGAATCTGCCATCACTGTTCAAACGGCTCTCTATAAGTCGACTTATCCTCTCTATAAGTGGACTTATGTAGTCTTTTTAGCCTATAACGGCTAGTTCTTATTTTTGGGATTTTTGGGGTGTTTTTGTGGGTTTTTTGGCTTGTTTGAGAGGCTATAAAAATCCCTCTCCTCTCATTTGTTTTTATGGGTATTTGAGTGAGTTTCATACAAGTTTGTTTAAGTGTTTCAAAGGGGTTTTCAAGCTTGTTTATGTGAATATTGTTTCACAAAGAGAAAGATTCGATTTTCAACATTGAGGAGCTTATCTTCAACATTTTACATCTCTTTGCTTGAGAAGTTTTCTAAATTTCTTTTTATCTAGCTTGTTCCATTGTTTCATTTATTTGCTAGATTAATCTGAGTAGTTTTTTGTTACTTATCATATTCACACACAACCATTGAGCTTAAGTATTTTACACACATAGTATACTTGAGTTATGAGTGTGATTAGTTGTATGAGCTTACATTGAGTTCTCATCTATTATAGAGAATAAATCTTTTTATTTGAGCTTAATTGTGAGATACACTTTGTAATACATTTGTACACCGAGAGGAGTGTGTGGTGAGAGACGAGGTCGATTCCAAGAGGAGTGACGTCAGTAGTAAAGCCTAGGGAGAGATTGTAAATCCGAGTATTTGAGGAAGATGATACGTGCTAGAGACCAACACTTGGAGGATGTAAAATATGATTGCAAGAGTGTGTGTTATGAAAGTTTTCGGTGAGCTAGAAACTCACCAAAAACCGAGATTGTGAGGTGTAAACGTTTTTGGGTGAACGTCGAAAACCCATTGTGTTAGTGAATTCTTCCCGGGAGTGGAGAGCGAAGACGTAGGTCGAAAGGACCGAACTCCATGATTATTTTCTTGTGTTTGCATTGCTCATTTGTCCACTATTTTGTTTATATCGTTTCATGTTTATTTGCCCTTTATTACATATCCTTGCATTTATCTCATTATATATCATACTTGCTAGGATAATTAGTTATTAAGTTTTAATTAGTATTAATATCAGATTAGATTAGCATTAACCCTATTCACTCCCCCCTCCCCCTCTAGGGTACTTTCATCACCTCTATACAATATTATCGTTAGAGCTAAAGTTCTAACTCAAGAACTGATATTAGAAAACATTAACTATAATTATTGCAAAGTTAATCCTTTGTTAGTTAGCTTTGGAAAAATTCAAAGGACAATAAAGTCAAACCAAACTTGACTATAAGTCTCAAATAAAAATAAAAAACTATAAGAAAAGAAGAATATACAAATATTAAAAACTGCTAGAAATGAAAAAATATAAATATTTTTCACAATTATAAATTCTTGCAAGGAAAAAATACAAAAAATTTACCAAAAACCCAAGTTTATGTAAATGTTTTCTTAAATTAATATTTTGTATAAGAATTTCTTTTAGTCGACACTAATGTTATCACTATAGGAATAGTAGACATTATCAACTATCAAGCTTATAAAAACATATGTACTCACCTCTATTTTTCATCATTCTATCCTTATTCATTATCTTTTATTTATCATTCTTGTTGATAGATAGTGTATGTCACCAAGTCTATTAGGGAGGCTTGGGAGGATTATAGATGTTTGGTGCAGATTTTGTGGCATCGGGTCTATGTTCCTTAATAAGTTGTAGCATTTGGTTTTTTTGATACGGATTTTCTCTATTTATTGAAACCAGTATCTAGTTCTAATGACATTGCTGTTAAGTTTTCCTATATTTTTTAATTTGAGGAACTTTAGAGCTAATGTATGTTTGAAAGCTTTGCAATTGATGTGAACTAAGGTGTATATCTCTGCATATTCTCTAATATAATTTTTCGTATGCTTTAGATTAATAGAAGAGTTTACTCACTGATAAAACAATATTATCGTTAGAGCTAAAGTTTTAACTCAATAACTAATATTAGAAAACAATAACTATAATTATTGCAAAGTTAATCCTTAGTTATTTAGCTTTGAAAAATTCAAAGGACAATAAAGTCAAACCAAACTCGACTATCAGTTTGAAATAAAAATAAAAGAACTATAAAATAGAAAAATATACAAACATTACAAATTGCTAAAACGAAAAAAATATAAATATTTTTCGCAAGTATGAATTCTTGCAAAAAAAAGTAGAAAAATTACCAAGAATCCAAGTTTATGTAAAGGTTTTCTTAAATTAATATTTTGTAGCTAAACTTCTTTTAGTCGACACTAACGTTATCACTAGCGCATCATTTGGTACGTGGGAATGAAGTCAAGTGAGAATGGAATGCAAGAAGAAATGGAATGGAATGTATGTGAGAATGGAATGGTCATTCTCATTCTCTTGTTTGGGTGCGTTTATAGAATGAAGCTAAAATGAAAATATAATTCCCATTCCCATGTTTGGTATCGCTAGTTCACAAGTGAGAATGGAATCTTATTTTTTAATAATATCATTATAACAACATAGATTTTTAATAAGATAAAAATAAACATTAATGATAATAACTAAAAAAATTTATTTATGTATATGTTATATTAATCTAGGTATGTGTTATACTAATGCGCATGTTATCGATCAGGTGTATGTTTCGTTTATATATTTTAAACAATTCTCACTATTTCTTAGTCTTAAAAAATTAAATAAAAATGCAATAGAAAGGACGTTTTTTTGTTTCGGTGGAGCCTAAAAAACAAAGAAAAAAATGAGAATATGTAGTCAAAAGCCATGATTTTTAAATTGATTCTTATTATTAATAGAGGTATAATTAAAAAAAACCAACTAATTTGATTCTCCCATTGAATGAGAATGATCATTCCCTATCTTCTTACTTGGAATGCTCATTCCCACAAAAAGTAGGGAATGGTCATTCCAACATCTAAAAACTAGTTTTGTTTGGTATGAGGGAATGAGAAGTGAGAATGATATTTCATTCCATCCCATTCCCGCGTACCAAACGGGGCCTAGAAGAATTGGAGACATTATCAAGCTTATGAAAACAATGTACTCGCCTCTACTTTTCACCATTCAAGCCTTCTTCATTCTCTTTTATTGTCATTCTTGTTAATGGAGAATGTATGCCACCAGGTTTATTGGGGAGGACAATAAAGTCAAAACAAAATTGACTATTAGTATGAAATAAAAAAAATTATAAAAAAATACACAAATATTAAAAACTGTTAAAAATGGAAAATGTATATATAAATATTTTTCGCAAGTATGAATTCTTGCAAAAAAAAAATACAAAAAATTTACCAAGAATCCTAGTTTATGTAAAGGTTTTCTATCAATATTTTGTATTAGAATTTGTTTTAGTTGACACTAACGTTATCACTAGAGGAATTGGAGGCATTATCAAGCTTATAACAACAAATGTACTCACCTCTATTTTTCACCATTCTATCCTTATTCATTCTCTTTTATTTTCATTCTTGTTGATGGAGAGTGTAGGTCACCCAGGTCTATTGGGGAGGCTTGGGAGGATTCTAAATGTTTGGTGAGGAGTTTCTAGCATTGGGTCTAATTGCTTCTTAATAAGTTGTAGCATTTGGTTTCTTGATAGGGATTTTCTCTGTTTTTTAAAGCAAGTATCTACTTCTGATGACATTGTTGTTAAGTTTTCCTCTATTTTTTAATTTGAGGAGCTTTGGAGCTCATGGATATTTGAAAGCTTTGCAATTGATATGAACTAAGGTGTACATCCCTACATATTCTCTAATGCAAATTTTCGTATGTTTTAGATCAATAGAAGAGTTTACTCACTGATAAAACAATATTATCGTTAGAGTTAAAGTTCTAACTTAAGAACTAATATTAGAAAACATTAACTATAATTATTGCAAAGTTAATCCTTAGTTATTTAGCTTTGAAAATTTCAAAGGACAATAAAGTCAAACCAAGCTCGACTATCAGTCTGAAATAAAAATAAAAAACTATAAAAATAAGAATATACAAATATTAAAAATTGCTAGAAATGAAAAAAATATAAACATTTTTCACAAGTATAAATTCTTGCAAGAAAAAAATGCAACAAATTTACCAAGAACCCAAGTTTATGTCAATGCTTTCTTAAATTAATATTTTATATAAGAATTTCTTTTAGTCGACACTAATGTTATCACTAGAGGAATAAGAGACATTATCAAGCTTATAAAAACAAATGTACTCACCTCTATTTTTCATCATTCTATCCTTATTCATTCTCTTTTATTATCATTCTTGTTGATGGAGAGTATATGTCACCAGGTGTATTAAAGAGGCTTGGGAGGATTTTAAATGTTTGGTGAGGATTTTGTGGCATCAGGTCTAATTGCTCCTTAATAAGTTGTAGCATTTGGTTTTTTGGTAGGGATTTTCTCTATTTATTGAATCAGTATCTAGTTCTGACGACATTGCTGTTTAGTTTTCCTCTATTTTTTGATTTGAGGAGCTTTGGAGCTAATGTATATTTGAAAGCTTTGCAATTGATGTGAACTGAGGTGTATGTCAATGCATATTCTCTAATGTAATTTTTCGTATGTTTTATATTAATAGAAGACTTTACTCATTGATAAGACAATATTATCGTTAGAGCTAAAGTTCTAACTCAAGAACTAATATCAGGAAACATTAACTATAATTATTGCAAAGTTAATCCTTAGTTATTTACCTTAAAAAATGCAAAGGACAATAAAGTCACACCAAACTTGACTATCAGTCTGAAATAAAAATAAAAAACTATAAAAAAGAAAAATACACAAATATTAAAAACTGCTAAAATGGAAAACAAATACAAATGTTTTTCACAAGTATGAATTCTTGCAAAAAAAAAAAATTATACGAAAAATATTTTGCAACCATCAACTTTTAAAAGTCTCAGATTCATAATAATAATAACAATAACAATAATAATAATAAGCGAACTACAAATAACGGGTATGTTGTTTGGCTTCTTCGCGGATCCAAATCCACACCGAACTTCTCCAGCTATAAACCTGACCAAATCCCCGATTTCACCCCAGAATCCCTAAAAATGGTTCGCCGGAGCCGAGACGTCGACGACGACGACGACGAGATCGTTTTCACCTCGACTACTCCCTCACAAACTCCGACCTCCACACTCTCTTCTCCACCTTCGGCAAGATCGCCCGCGTCACCGTCCTCAAAGACCGCGACTCTCGCCGGTCCAAAGGCGTCGCCTTTGTCCTCTTCGTCTCCCGAATCGACGCCCAGAGCGCCGTCCGCACGATGAACGGGAAGATCCTCAACGGACGAACCCTAACTGCGTCGATCGCAGAGGATAACGGCCGAGCGGCGGAGTTTATAAGGCGTAGGGTTTATAAGGATAAGAGCAGGTGCTATGAGTGTGGGGATGAGGGGCATTTGTCGTATGAGTGCCCGAGGAATCAGTTGGGGGCGAGAGAGCGGCCGGCGCCGAGCAAGAAGGGGAGGAGAGAGGGAGGACAGCGAGAGCAGCAGCACAATGAGGAGGAGGAGGAGGAGAATTTTGAGAGTGATGATTGGAATTGGGCGTCGGTTGTTGATCCGAGAGGGCGAGAGGAGAGGGGAGATGATGGGGTGAGTGGGAAGAAGAAGGGGAAGATGATGACGAAGGAGAAGAAGAGTTATTTCAGTGATGAAAGTGGAGAGGATGAATGAGGAACTTGCAGGCGAGCAAGGTAACTTTGTTCAGTGAATTAGAGATTAGTAGTGTTGTTGTTGTTAATAGAATGGTGTTAGAAATTTATTGAATGTAAGAACTTGTGAACTTCTTTTTAGTGTTAATTTAGCTGTAGGATGTACTCCGACTTGGTTCTAATTTGTGTAAAAGGAATCATCCCTAGTCTGAAGAAAAAAGATTGAAACTTTGCTCCCAGAATGTTTATTTTGGAACAGCTGCTCTTGGGTTTTTTTCCAGCTGAATTAGGTATATACAATAGAGGATTTTCTTATTTCATTTGTCATCCAACATTTATTCCATGTGATCATACCCCTTCGAAGGTAGGGGAAGAGGGTCTTCTCTCCCTTCTCCAACTTCATAGGAAAGGAGAACTTGAATGTAGCAATAATCATTTAAAGAAGATACTTAGCTCTTGATATGGATGAAATAGAAAGACTTAATGGATGGCGAGACATCAAGTTTTGGACTGTAGGGTTTTGTGATACGAGTCGCCGTGCGAGCACCTTTGATCGCGGAATTATCGAAGGTGGGTTGAGAAGAGGATGACAGAAACACAAGAACAATTCAGTATGTAGCGAAGGAAAATACCCTCTCTAGATTATGAGTATGAAAAGATTACAATCATTCTCTCACATTCTCACTAGAATCGAGAACAAGCTCTCAATTCTCTCTAAATCCTAATCTCTCTTGATTAGAATCTCACTTTGATTACCTCTAATTGATTAGAAACCCTAAACAATCTCTATATTGCAAACAGAAACCCAAACGAACCAGGAAACCTTCGATGAGTCGACTCACGACTGAGATGAGTCGACTCCTCCGAAACTGGACAAAACACAAAACCAGCAATGAGTCGACTCATGACTGAGATGAGTCGACTCGTCAGAGACTGATGACAAATGGCTGAATATCATGAGTCGACTTATGATAAACATGAGTCGACTCAACCTGATGAGTCGACTCATGACTGTTATGAGTCGACTCACGGGCTAAAAACTGGATGCTTCAATTTTTCGATTCGCCGTTTCATTCCACGCTTCAACCTGCGTTTTACTGTACTGTTTTACACCTCTATTCTCAAGCTACCATGAGAATCAGCTATCCTCAAGCTCCTATGAGGATCACTAAGTTCCGAAAAGAAGATACACCCGTATTATGGGGGCCCCTTTAGGAACTTGAAGTCCCGTTCAAGTTAGAACTTCAGTTGAGGAAACTCTCGAGCTCCTCTATCTTTTTTGCACCACCTGCCTTGTTAGGAACTTGATAGCGACGTACAATTGGAAACGACTCCTTCGTTCCTTGCCTTGTCGTAGTCGTCTTCCGCTCCAACATGCAATCCTCTTTCGATGGTTTTTCTGTAAGTCTAATGCACAGCGAGACAAACTTCTTGCTTGCATTCACTAGCCTCTTCGCTCGCGTCGTCGTCCCCAAGCTTGTCTCCCTTGGAAAAGACGCTGAACGAAATATGAACTTTTCACCGTCTTTGGTGAATATATACTTCTGAGCCCGCTTCTCGTATATCGCATATCTATCCCGTAAGTACGAATTACCCAGTATAATCTGACAAACATCCAATGGAACTACGTCGCACGTGATTTCGTCAATATACGACTCATGGAGCGCAAATCTGACACTGTATTGGTCAACTATACTCAGTCTCTCCTTCTTCTGAATCCGCCCCAATGGATAGGGCTTCGGATGCTTGACCATCTTCAGACCCAGCTTCTGAACCAAGACCTCGGATATCAAATTCTTCTCGCTACCCGGATCAAAACTATGACATCAACCAAACTGGTCTTTACTTGTAACTTCAGCACAAAGAGCTGCTCTCGGGGGTCTTCGTCCTCTTTCGTGGTCTGTTTTTTCGCCATAAGGTTGAGAGTGCTGTTGGGTTCTGTCATCCCCGGGACTTCTTTCGGACATTGATCTATCACATATGCCTTTTTCTCCTTCTCCTTCAATCCTCTTGGCTTGAGATGATGATACTTCTCCCAATACCGATTAGCAACATGTCCTGTCTTCTCGCAGTGACTACAAATCAGTTCTGTTTTTCCTGGATCACCCTTATTTTTCTCCTTATATTTAGAACCACTAGACTCACCTCCCGTCTGTTTGGAGTCTCCTTTAGTCTCATTGCCCTTCTTCTGCTTGCCCTCAATGGCAATAGCCTTCACGCTCGTCTCTGCAATAGTCTCGACCGTGAATAACTTCATCTCCTTCCGGATGTAATCGTTCAATCCCGTCATATACTTCATAAACACAAAATATTCCTCTGTCGTAATGTTGATGACCATCGTCTGCTGCTGGAACTCCGTGGTGTATTCTTGAACGATTTGATTGACTCTTTGGCGCAAGCCGTATCACTTGTACCAACGTTCTTCGAGGAACCCTACCGGATAGAATTGCTTCCTAAGTAGTTCATTGAACTTGTTTCACGACACCGTCTTCTTCTCCTGCTTGCAATAGGATTTTCATCATGTTAATGTATGTCCCGAAAGCTTCAAAGTCGCAAACACGAGCTTCTCCTTGGATGAATATCCATAGAGTGTGAAATAAGTTACCATCCGCTCGATCCAATCATCAAGTCTCTCGACGTTGACATTCCCGTCATAAACATGAATCTTCACTTTGAAGTCTATCTTCAAATTCTGATAAGAACCCTTACCCCTTTGGTGTGAAACAGACTTAACAATACGGACCTCCTCATCTGAATAAGAACTCTCGCCTTCTCCATCGGACTCCACAAGTTTCTTCTTGCCTTTCGAAGAAGATTCCTCCTTATTTTCTTTTTCTTGGACAAGATTGACGACTTGCATGAGGGTCGAACCCATTGTCTCCATCTGTTTCTCCAATATATCTTGCCTTGCTGAACTGTCTTTTTCAGTCATCTTCTTCTTCCTTAATTTCTGAACTTCTTCCAATGAAATAAGGATCTCGCCTAGCTTCTTGTATTGCGATCGAGTCAGGATCATACACAGGATGGCCCCTCTACCAGATCTGATCGCTCTGATACCAACTTGATACGAGTCGCCGTACGAGCACCTTTGATCGCGGAATTATCGAAAGTGGGTTGAGAAGGGGATGATAGAAACACAAGAACAATTCAGTATGTGACGAAGAAAAATACCCTCTCTAGATTATGAATATGAAAAAATTACAACCCCTCTTTCACAATCTCACTAGAATCGAGAACAAGTTCTCAATTCTCTCTAAACCCTAATCTCTCTTTATTAGAATCTCACTTTGATTACCTCTGATTGATTAGATCCCTAAACAATCCATTATATAGGTGTAACAATGTGGATGACAAAGTGGTAAATAACCAAGCCCAAACCCAACAGGAGTTCGTGCAAACAAAAACCCAAACGAACCAGGAAACCTTCGATGAGTCGACTCGTCCGAAACTGGACAAAACACAAAACCAACAATGAGTCGACTCATGACTGAGATGAGTCGACTCGTCAGAGACTGATGACAAACGACTGAGTTTTATGAGTCGACACATGGGTCGACTTATGACAGACATGAGTCGACTCATGACAGGCATGAGTCGACTCAACCTGATGAGTCGACTCATGACTGTTATGAGTTGACTCACGGGCTGAAAACTGGATGCTTCGATTCTTTGATTCGCCGTCTCGTTCCACGCTTCAACCTGCGTTCCACTGTGCTGTTTTACACCTCTATTCTCAAGCTACCATGAGAATCAGCTATCCTCAAACTCCCATGAGGATCATTAAGTTTCTAAGAGAAGATACACCCGTATCATTTTGTCTATGTTTATTCCTTAAGTGTGATGAACTTGATGCCTTAGTAAGCCTTTACTTAGGAAATAAGAGGTATAATCTCGTCGCTGGATAGAGACCGTGTGCCCATACTAGCCCTGCTACCAGCTTGTCAATAGGTCCTTTCAGTAATGACATTGCCAATCACTGATAGAGCACACCGTTCATTATGCATTGCCTATGTGCATGATATCTGATGAAGAATTCTGTAAACCTCCTATCTGGATTGTAAAATTGACATAAGTCGTTATTTCCAATTATGTAGAGTGCTTATGTAAAAATAAGCTAAGCGTATTAAAAAGATTAACCAATCATACTTTCTAATAACATAGGAATAAAACAAGTTCATGGTTAACACAAAACGTATAAGAGAGGGGGGGGGGGGGATCCCGCAATTTGGGTAACATGAGTTTGAGCCTTGACGATAATGCTAACCAAAAATGATTAATTTCCATCTGCAGCGAATAAATCTCTTTGAATTGGGAAAAGTTAAAGGAGAGAAAAGTAGAAAAGAACTATTTATGGGTTCATAATGCTCGTAGCACTTTCAAGGATAAAGAATGGAGAAATATTTTACTTGGCTTTTGGGATGTACCATAAGTTCTAGCGCTCAGCTAAGTTGTTGTAATTGCATGTTCGAAGTATATGAAAACGAATTCACACTCTAATAAAATAGAAATGACAATAACCATCAAAATTCTAATTAAATTTTATGTTGGTTTAAAAGAGATTCTTGCAGCTGGCTGGAAAAAAAAAAACCCTGTGAGAGTTATCGGCCTTTTAGCAGATGAAAAGGCCTTGACTTTCTTCTAGAAATTTCATCCACAGCTCGTCGATGCCGCCACCATTGAATCACATTGATTGATCCTTGTCATCTGCTTGTCAGTAACATAATCTTATTGATGAACTTTGTGATTCTTACGCTAGATAGCAAGAATATGGATATATATGGTTTAATCCATCATCATCAACCTTTGGTTTATGCTATTTTCTATCAAAATTTCTGATCATTAACAAACTGAATGTAAAAGAAAGTGGAGAAAAGAACATAATAGGAGCAATTATATGCGGAGGGTGCAGGATGAACCTAAAGGATAGAGAAGAAACTCGCTCGTTTCTGCTGCTGTAAATGTGGAGGGTGCAGGATGAACCTAAAGGATAGAGAAGAAACTCGCTCGTTTCTGCTGCTGTAAATGTGAAGAGAGCCCTCTTCGAAAATGGCTTGATTTTTTCCATCTAAGAGACCCTAGAATAAAGACTGAGGAAACTCTAAAAAAGAAAGGGTAAATTTGACAAATTTCCCCCAAAACTTTCGGGTGTTTCCCAAAAACCCACCTGAACTTTGTTTTTCCCACAAAACTCCCAAAATTCCAAATTGTCCTAAATAACCCCCCAAAACCTTTAAAACCCCCTAAAAAGTTTCTCTTGAATTGGAGTACCTTATTAACTTCTCTTCATATAGTTTGTCATTTTTTAACCCCCCAAGCTTATCTTCTCTTTTTCTTGCTTTTTGGGGGGTTATGTGGGAAAAATATAAAAGTTTTGGGGGGTTAATTGAGACTCATTTGAGTTTTAGGGGTTAAGTGTGGAAAAACAAATTTTAGTGGGTTTTGTGGGAGCTGCCCCAAAGTTCTGGGGATTTTGGTGAAATTTACCCAAAAAGGAATGCTGACTACTAGGAAGTTGTTCCTAAAATTCTATCCTGTACTTGAAATCCTATGGACATGATTCTTATCAGATTGCTCTTTTGTTAATTCATTAGCATATGCACACCAGAGACTCTGGTTCTCAACCAAGATTTGCAATTTTTACAGGATGACAAATCTATGGCACTTTTGTGGTGGCAATCATGAATGCAGTAAATTTTTCTTTTCATGGTTCCTCCAATGGTGTTAAGTCATAAAATTGTCCTGATTATTGTCTGTGAGACACCTTCAAACTATGTGTTTTTCATTTGTAGTTCAGTTTAAACCCACCGTAAATGTCTTATATTGATGAAACATGTAAACTCCCTTTTCCTTTAATAACATAATAGTTCTTTACATTTGGGCTCTCTTCATATAGTTTGTCATTTCGTTTTAGTCCATAATGCTCTGTTTAATCTTCCAACAGCCTTTCTGGCTCAGGGCACGAATGGGATAGCTGCTTGAATGAGGTCTATTTCTCATTGTTTTTTGTCAAAAAAATTGGATGACTTGATGAAGATCTCTTGGATCTTAGGCGGAATGGGTATTCTTCGGATCATATCCATGTCTAACTTTGTTTGAAGGTCATTAGTTTATCTTCTGGAAGTATATTATCCACTATAAATGTCTTGGTTAGATTCTTCTAAGATAACACCTACTTAAAGGAATTGACTATCAAAATTAATATCACAATTTGCAAGGAGCGGCAATATTTTGCTGACTAAGTACTTGAATATTCATTTGATTATGGTTGTTCTGTAGGTGATGCATCTATGCGAGGGTGATTTGGCCGCAATGATCATCGTACAAGGGCTCTTTTGCATATTAGGGGATGATATGATTATTGAGTGTGATCTACTTCAAAAGGAGTTTCAAGATGAACTTGATTCTTGTTTAAGTGCAGAACTTGAGGATAAGCTTTAAGAGCTGAGAAAGTGTTGTTACGGTGCGCGTTGCAATAATCTCCGGAAAGCCTCTTGTATTTTGTTAATCTGAGGGAGGTCTTGGAGTAGAGCTCTTTGCCTAGTTGATTGCTATTTAGTTTGCTGAGAGTTTGTATAATTAGGCTTTCTAATTTGAAATATGTTGTTCATGTGATGTAAAAAGAATGATTCATCATAACAAGTTTTGCCTCCTCATCTTCTATTTGCAACTCACAGGTTTCTCAAGGGGTCTGTGAAGAATAATGGTGCATTAGTTTTTTGGTGCATTCTTGATAGCCTAATGGATGAGGATTTGAGAGGCTATGATGATCGATTCAACCTCTGATAAAAAAGATAGATCTTGGTTCTATTTCATCTCTTCAACGAGTCCGATAAGCATATCTTGAGTTGGTACGGAAATGGGATCTCCAATGGCTGGAGACAAAGATGTTATATATTTTGTATTTCCAATCAACACAAACCGACCTTAGCTCAGTTGGTAGAGCGGAGGACTGTAGTGTGTGCAGATAAATCCTTAGGTCGCTGGTTCGAATCCGGCAGGTCGGAATTCCTTTTTCCAATTTCATTTTCTTAACAACATCAATATTCTTTTTAATTTGAATTCTCTGAGAAAACAATCCCTGGAGAATAAGTCATTGTTTCTAATTTCTTTTCAAAACCGGGAGGTCTGAATTCCTTTTCCAATTTCATTTTTAGCATCTTTTTTTTTTTAATGAGAAACCGATCAATGAAGAGCAAGTTTTTGTTTGTTCTTCTTTTCCTTATAAAGAACAAGTATAGGGGTGCTTGGCACGCTACACTTGCACTCGCAGCAAATGTTACACGCAATATTTATTGTGGGAAACTAGCCTCGAATCCATTTGTTTGGATATTTTGCACTTTTATTATAGTAAATGTATTTCTAAACACACATCTGATTTCAGCTTGTCAGGAGATCCATTAGATTTGCATTTTTGTTGTAGAAAATATACTTTCATTGTAAACCACGCGTCTGTTTCTCTTCAAATGTATTAAAAACATACATTTTTAAGTTAAAAAATTCACTAAACTGACTACATGACACTATATTTTAGTAGTTTTTAGTTAATGCAAGGACTAGCAATATTTGCTGCGGCCGAATCGACCGTAACAATTGCTACAAGTTCTCCCTTAAAAATGCAAATCTAAATATCGCCCATAACAACCTTTTTGCAAGCCAAACATCAGAAATAGAAATATGGTTGCTAACACTTGCCAATTTAAATACATTTCCCCTCAAAAGAAGGTTTATGTTTCCAGAGAATCTGAACCACTCGAAGCTTTTATCTAAAACAACAATCGATTAGAACATAGCTTTGATACGTACATCTATCTGAACAGGAATTCGGCAAAACTCAGCGTATCATTCATCGTAAAGTGTAAAGCTTAGTCAGAGCTCTCCTTCAATTAATGCAGGTGTTCTACCAAAGCAGCTCATGTTGCCAGGTAGGGACCGATATTGATGTATCAAGAAATACGCGAACACCCGCAGTGAAAAAGAGAACAACTGCACCCATGATGGTTCTGGTGATCAAGAAGCTTCATTGATAGAGTTACATGGTAACCACGAAGAGATTACGCGTGTAGGTTGGCCATAACCTGCAAGAACCAAGCAGTACCAGCATCAACTTCGCAACCCCAGAAAGAAAGAGGTGCGTTTGACGTTTTCAGCATGCATTGATCTACATCTCTCTTTCATTTTTTCTAATAATAATTTGTTAGCCTGACGAACATTGGATTTGACGAAAAATTGCAATTGTGCTTTCTAGAACAATTTAATCCAAAAAGCCCAGAGTTTGAGCTCAGTTTAATTTAGGTTCTGTGATTTTGGCAACTCGTTTTGAGCAGAATTCTTCACTTGGCACCAAGTTTCAGGAAAAAGGAAATGTGCTGTGACATCCAATTCCTTAAGTAAGACATGTCGGTTCTGAAGAGAGATTCTCATTAGAAGTTTCAAATTCCTACATCTTCGTTTAGGAAGTGAGATTCTCGTTTAGGGTACATGGACAAGAACAAAGAGCATAACCGCATAACAAGGATATTATCCGCATATGTAAATTTCCATCAACTTTCTATAATTAGTATTGTCTATGTTCTTTCTATATTGATTTGCATTTTTTCCACCCATATAAACTCATCATTCATATGGTCCTTGCACAAATTTCACAATCATTATAAAAATACCATGTTCTTTTCATAGTAAAAAGCAAAGTCTGAGGATTAGATCATCTTACTTTGTGAGAACTGTGAATAATTTTGAAAAGCTACAAACAAATGCAAATTATTGCTACTTTGGGCAAGAACTAGGTCGACGGAAATTTCTTAGTGCATGGTATTTGGTGTACATAAACTATTCATATAGGGAGACCTTGACATAACTTGTGAAATAGATTGATGAGTTGGATTGATGAGCTAGAGTGTGATTTGCCATGAAATCTTTTATAAAAATAAAGACGACAGAATCTTAGATCGATATAAGTCTCATGTCACAAACCAACTAGGATAGAGCATATTACTATCCTCACTTGCAATCACTTTAATAGAAAAAGAAAGAAAAAAGAGGGGGGAAAAGGCAGCACTCAGTAGCAAAATTGGCAGGCTCAATAAAAGATGTCTCTTAAGCATGATTGCATGAGTAAAATACAAAGTCCACCTGTTCCCAATTATGGAGTCAAATCGTTTTCTCTAATACTCAACAAAGACTATACTCCACAAATTGAAGAAGAGAACACTGGAAGAAAACATTTAATAACCAAGAAAAAAACAAGAGAAAAAAGAAAAAAAAAACAAGAGAAAAAAGATCAACCACTAATAGCCACACGAGCATAACTAAGCTAAACACTACAACAAAGGAAGATAAAACAAAATCTAACTGATAATAGACAAGCTACACTTCTAAATGCCAGCCCTAGAGTGTATGTATGCTACATGATGTAGAATGAGCATTAGGTTTGGTCCGCATAAGAAAAATTGATTTTAAATTTGTTATAGGATTAATCAGTTATACGTTTGGCATATTTTACATGTTTCATCAAGTGCAAACATACATAAACCTCGATTCTTTGATCAGTTGACATTTATCAAGAAGAGATCCTTGCTTCTTAGTCAAAAAATAAATGCAAGCTCCAATATACCTATATTTTGCTTACCCTGTTCTGATTGTTCTTTGTCAACGCAAATGTTGGCTCTGTTAATGTAACGTTAAACACCCTCCAAGAAGCTTCTTTCAATCTGATCCAAGACAACCACAGTTATTTTTCTCCCTGAAGAAAGTTGTAACTACAAAAGTAATCAGAAAGGTTTCATCACCATTCTTCTTCATCTAGTATTAAGAAAATTTTAACTGTGTAGCGGTGTAGAGCAAAACCTTAACGAAGAACCTCAAACATCATATCAGATACTTTTGTAAGAGAAACACCAAGTTACTTACAAAGAAAATAGGTATTAATGTTAAACTTATTGGAGAATGTCAGTTAAAAACTACTCGTAACCTTAAGTTCCTAATCACATGAAGAAGGAATTCTATACTAATTCAAGCGGTCAAGCGTAGGCGAGGGTTAAATTGTGACATCATTTGCTTCCCTTGGACCTGAGTAGCTTTAAGCTGTTACATTATTGTGCAATGTGCAATATGTAAAGATTTTAATCATTCTGCCTATTGAGCCAAACAAGAAATCCATCCTCCACAGCAACCAGCCAGGATTCATCCAACTAGTTCACTACCCTTGTCGAGTTTATATATATCTTTACATTTTCAAGAGGAAAATTATCATTTCATATTCACTTACTCAGTAGCATGTGACAACAAAAGACTCCAAACAATCAACGCTTAAGTGTGAACCATTACCATCTTCCTGCCTTGTTCATTTTGCAAATTCATGGGATGCTTCGTTTTGAACTTTCTTAAGCGAATAAACTTTACCTGAACTACGATATGGTGATTAAAAAGAAGAAGGAGAAGGATTAGTGAAAATTTTAGTTTCATAAAGGAGAGGGGCAAATATTTTTAGTAAGGAGCTAAAAACAGTAGAATGATTACTAGTTTATATGAGATCATATACTGCAGGAATATTTTTAGCACCCAAAAAAAAAAGAACAAAAAAGTAATCCTTTCTTTAGAAATCAACTAACTGCAAACTCTTCACATATTTTTACCAAAATTTTGACAATTATAACAGAAATTATCCGATGATAAGGGATTCACATGCACTTCAAAGCTCTGACCTTTTTCAATTTCTGAATTAGAATGCTAACAAGAGCTAGAACAATAATATTAAAAAAAACACAGAAGGACACAAGATTTGAGGACATAACAACCGAAAACATTGATAAAAAAAAATTAAAAGCGGCATAAATTCCTTCGACATAAAAAATTGTCTACTGAAAAGCCTAATTCGGAAAAAATTAACGTGTGCTACACTCGATTCGGATGAGGAAATCTGAGAATCTAAAAGATGAATGATAGCTGGAGACCAAAAAATAGAGAAAATTTAAAGGAAAATAATACCTGATGCAGGGCGAAAAGGAGACTGAACCCAGAATCGCCAAAAAAATTTGGACCATTTCTCGATTTGTGCGTGTCATCCTTGCGCAGGGGCCATGCTAATCTTCTCTGTATCGTTCCAATTTTATCGGATGTCTCCGAAGAGACGATTGATCATTGAAGCAAACAGTATAAAAACCTGAGACTTATGAGTACTTTAGCCGATGTGGGACTATTCAAACGACTTGATAATTGATATCAGCTGTTGGGCCTCACACTCATGGCGGGCCGAAGCTTTGGCTCAGACTATACACTGTTTGGAAACCAATTAGCTTATAATTACGGAGTTGGATAGCAGTCTAACACAAAGCTCATTCCGTTCTTATTTCACTCCGCATTTGGAATTTAAGTTATTTGCTTCTCTAAAAGCTAGTGGATTATATAATTATAACACCAATTGTTATTGTACGGTTGTTATTGTTTACAGTAAGATTCATCTCATCAACCCACCTATAATTATATAATTATAAGAGTGTTAAATGTGCACCATCCATCATTCGTCTCATTATAACTTATCTCATTTCTGCGGTTTCCTTGTGCTTAATCCAGAAGCGCACACGGTCTTATTTTCCACCTAAGAAAAAATTGTCATAGACAACTACATATAGCAAAATTTGTAAAAATCAATCTACATTGGTCAAACGCCAACTTGATTATATCCGTCTTATGTAAGCATCGGTATCATCCTATTTGTACCGATAAAAAAAATAGTGACTATACTGATAGACATAAAGATTCATCTATAGAGAACCCTCTATACATAGTATTCTTTTACCCCCAATACTATGGCTACACAAATTTATACTTGTATTCATGAATTTGAGTTTGGGAAGTATATATTAATTAAGGTTGTGTGGGGAGGGATGGATGAGGCACTGAGAAGTGGAGAAAAGCTGCAGCGTTTTGATTGTTTTAGGTTAAAAAAAAAAGAAACAGAGGAAGGAATCAAAGAGGAGAGCATCTTTCTGGTTATGGGGGAATGAATGCTGCCGCTTTGATCAGCATGCGCAGGGGCAGCAGCAGAAAAGAGCAGAGGAGAAGCTTCATCATCTCAGCTCTGCGCACCAGCACTCAGTTTTTTTGGGCATTATGCCATTTAATTAGAAAGCAACTTCCTGTCATTTTCCATTTGCTATCCTTTTGGCCTGTAAAATTCCACATGCGCAGCTTTAGATGCCCCTGCTGTTGTGATTCTAAAGAGGATGCTCATGAAACCAGCTTAGCTTTAAGGCCTCGTGTGTATGGAGAAATAATGCATTTTGCGTTGTCCTGCTTGGATATAATTATATGTCCTTGTCTAGTATTGGTAGGTATCAAGTTTAGAAAAAAAGTAGTTTTAGACTTTTTAATCTACCCGTTAACATGGTTTGCTGGAATGTCCACTTAAAATTCAGGTCAATATATTATTTCGACGCGCTCAATAGTATTTGGTAAGGCACCTTAAAGGGTCATGATCAATTGATGGAAATCTTATAGCATGATTAACAGAAATTGATACTCGTTAACATACTAAAACGAGATTGAATTAGATTGTGCGTACCTTCTTCCATTGTTGAATGCACTAAACACCGAATTACCGATAATCGTTCTTTCTTGTCCACTCCACAACACAAAACCGAAATTGATGGATTATTATCACGGGACTTTATTCATTGATCATATTATTTGTGTGTGGACAAGTGACTCCTTTTATAGAACTCCCACCATCAAGGAGTTCATAACTACCCAATGAGTGCCAACTCGTATTACCACTCAAAGGGGGACTTTAATGTTAGGCGTTTAGGACCTAGCACGTTGAGTTTGAGAAACGCCCATGACTGGAATATGGGAATGTTGGTGGGTCCACTGTCGTTTGATTTGATCAGCGGATGGTTTGGTGAGGAAAGATTAACCTATCAGAAGATTGGCTAAAACGAGATTGAATTAGATTGTGCATACCTTCTTCCATTGTTGAATGCAATAAACACCGAATTACCGATAATTATTCTTCCTTGTCCACTCCACAACACAAAACCGAAATTGATGGATTATTATCACGGGACTTTATTCATTGATCATATTATTTGTGTGTGGACAAGTGACTCCTTTTATAGAACTCCCACCATCAAGGAGTTCATAACTACCCAATGTAGTTATGTCTTAAAACTACCAAAAGTAATTAATTTTAAAATTCAAATTTAAATTGCTATCAATGTCACATAATAGAATATGAAGAGTCAAAATTCTGACACAATCTTGACCCGGTTATGAATTGCCTTGTATTTGGCAGAATCTAAGTTGAGATTGACTCAATCTTTCTGAATCTTTCTGATTTGTTCCTCGTTTCGTTAGGATAAAACCATGTCAGGATTGTTGTGCGCGGCGGAGGCCTCAAAGCGACACGGTCGACCGCTTTCAGCTCCAGGGGCTCCTGCTCTCCTGTGCATGTTCACGATCGACCGCCAGTCTGCTTGAACTTCTCTAGTCACTTCTTCAAGGATTAATCCTAGCCTGGTTTTTAAGCATTTGCCAAGCACACGCTGATGATACTCCCCAATAATATATGACGACAATAAAAACTGCAGATTTCTCTGTGGTGTCCAATTGAGGGATTTGACTGGTGACTGTAAGTTATTTTGTTGGGTAAGGGAACACTAGATTCAGAAATGGTCCCTTGGGGTATCATGAGCATGGCCACTCAAGAAATTGTCACAGTCACATAGTGGACTCTAGCTGCTCCTTGTTAGCAAAAGAAAGTGACTAGTGATAATAATATTTGTCCCTACACTGCCTTCTATCAACTAGGGTTGTGTCCTATCGTAGGTTTACCTGTTGGCATCGAAGTCCCTTGAGACAAGGTGGCCCTTATATCACAATATCAAGGGTTAATCGCAGATGGATTGAGATCCTCAACTCATGAGGAGGTTCCTAAGATCTCCTCATGTGATCTTGGCCTTTGATTTATCAATCAAAGGCCATGATCTTCTCATAAGCAAACGTAAAAAGAGGATAAGGATGAGATCTTGGCCTTTGATTGATAAATCAAAGGCTAAGATATCCTTATTAGGAGATATTAGGAACACTATGCATTAATAGAGGATCCCAATTTAATCGCGGATAACCCCCTTGTAATATATAGTCAAATTGCAGATAGATCCCATTATAATTCTATCGTTGCAGATAGACGGGACCTCACGAGTGAAAGATTTTCTTTAACTCTTTTACCCTATGTCATAAAAACAATTTTCTCTCCGTTTGAGAGTAGAAGAGCCGAAAAAGTTCACACATGGGTCTGTGGGCAAGAATAGAACTATATATAGGGTTCATCCGCAGTGGTAATAGCATGAGGGGTCTAGCCACAGTTAACCCCAATAATAACAACGACATCAGGTGGCCAGAACTCAGAAGTTTTCACTGTACATAAACTGTTACCTTGGCCATCCTCTTGCATTTGGTAGCTCCTAGGTCTCTCTTTCCACTCAAAAGGGATGCATCTAGCTCCTCTTTCTTTTATTTTTTCCCCCTCTATTAAACTCATAAAGTTGTGATGCATGATTCATGCAGGAATATTTTTGGTACATACATAGAGTTGCTATGTAGTGGACTCTTTGCTTCTTTAGGTGCCAAAATAAGTCCTTTTCCTATCATATTTTTATTGAACCAAGGGGAGTTAGGATCTTAGGTAATATTGGTCCACTTCAATAAGGGGACTCAAAAAGGAGCTTGAAACCAAGAGCTTGAGGATTTTACAGGTGGAACTAGGAAACTTTTGCCCACGGGTACCAAAATGGGATCCTAATAAGAATTAGTGGAGGAAGAGAAAGAAGAATTGGAAATGAATGAGCAGAGCACAGCATCACATGCAAAGGACAAAAAGGTTCAATGGAAGTGAGCTTTAAAGGTGTGCACTGGGATTTGGCATGGCCTCATCTACAGCACATATCCACATGAGACCAACTCCACTACACATCAATAATCCCTCATCATTAAGCACTTTTGTCATTAAGGGAGGGTTTGGTCAATCATTAATCATGTTAGTCCCCTTGTTTTTCCAAATTAAATGAGCAAAGAACTAGACTAGGCTCTAATGAATGACCATACACTTTTGACAAAATAGACCACCTGGGAGTGAAGAAGACAAGAAAGTTCACTCAAGGGGGTGTTTGGTTGCATGTTTTTTGAGAAATGTTTTCTCAAAAGTACTGACGCATGGTATTTCTATAATTAAATATTTTCTATAGATTTCCGTAAACTGTGTTTGGTTCAAAAAAAAAATTACAGAAATGTTTTCTGTAAAGTACAGAAAAGTACCAAATTTTATAGAAATCGATTTCCTTCTAAAATGGGCGGAAATCAGTTGAAAATCTGACGCATTCGTTATTTAAATAATAAAACCATTGACACTTTTCTATAAAGTTCTCATTTTTCTATAAAGTTGGGGGTGTTTGGTTCAACTTCTACAAATTATAGGAAATGTTGATATTTTCTATAAAGTTATGAGTCTTTTTCTTGTTTTGAACCAAACAAGCAAAATACAAAAAATAAGAAAATTTGTACTTTTTAACTTCTCAAAACTTTTCCTATAATTTTTTTAAGAAATACAAGAGTCTATTTGCCACAACAGAAGTACAGAGGGTCTTTTCGTAATTGTGCATCAACTATGCTAATGACCTAAACCACTGGACAAGTTCCCCTTTTATACAAAATTATCTCAGATAATATTACCCCATCGTCACTACCAATCAATTCCATTATCAAGAAGATCCAATTTAGTTTCACGTCTAGATCTTCTGGTCATTGTTCATGAGCCAATAAAAGTAAACAGTCAATTCACTCAAACGTGGCCGTCAATAAAGGCCCCTTTTCAACACCAAGTTCTTTAATGGGCCTATTGGAATTGGAATTCAATTGACAGCCACGAAGGAATAAAGCCCTTTTACCGCATAGAAGCACGAGCAAGAATACAATACATCAAAGGAATGGATTTGTACTTGTCATTGTGGATTATAATATTAATTGCAAGCCATGAAAGCTAAAGCAAAGTTTCTAATTGCATTCTTAATAATAACAATAGAAGAGAGAGAGAGAGAGAGAGAGAGAGAGAGAGAGGGGCTCACATGGGCTTGGCGTTGTGAAATCCTTTGAGTGGGCTTTGAGTGAGATACTCCGTTGGCTTCTTTTATAAGGAAAAATAAAGGAGAAGGTGTGCTAATCGTATTTTATACCACACTTTTCTGACTTCTTCCAAGGTTAACTTTCCAGATAAAAAAAAAGTAGGGAGTGTAGACAAAAAAATGATAATTATACGCTAATCAGCACTCTCTATAATTAATGGCTTCCTTAAACTAAAGGATGGGATCTTATGATCTTTGCTTTACAACTCCCATCAAGGAAAAACAAGGACTCTTTTTAGTCATTCCCTTTTTATTACCACCACTTTT